AAAAAAAGATGGTCAAAAATATAACTCTCCATTTACTTCACAATATAAAGAGTGTTTAAAACTAACTGAAGCTTTTGAATTATGGTGTGAATATAGACTATTGACTGCCCAGAGAAGAAACATGTGTGTCCTGGAAGAAGAACAGCCAATGTGCTCCTCAGAACACAGGATGATGAAACATGGCCTCACGTCCTTTGAACAGGTTATAAGGATGAACCAGTTTCTGGAGAAAGATAACTTGCTTGGCAAAGCAGAGCATCAATGAAATATTGGAAGACCCTCAAGATGAGCTGATGCAGTGGCTATAACAATGTGCTCAAACATAGCAAGCCTTGTGATGGCCAGGCATCTTCATTCTATTATGTATATGTTTTTAAGAATTGAAACTCCTTGGAGCATACCTAGCAACAAGAACCATAGTATTTAATACCCTTATAATAATTTCATTTCATAGAATACAAATCGATTGGGATATTGAAGTACAAATTATGACATTTCTTATAATGATACCTGTCATCACATTAGTGGGATAAAAATATCCCAACAATGAAGCTAATTATGAATTACAATGATCAAAGCATCAGGCAGGATAAACTTTGAGTCATCCTTGAAACTATTTATCCTGATTATTCAATCCAAACCAATAACACATACAATAACTTTGATACTGGAAGTGTTATTTGTTTGGTTTGTTACAGATTTTGTGCTTGATGGATGATAAAATGGCAATGGCCAAGGAAAAGTCTTGTTTCCCTTACTGGAGTTGCACTCACTTCTTTTATCGTTTGTGCGTTCTTGAAAGTCAGGGCCTTTATCACTCTTCATTGTTCTTGTAACAACATTTCCCACCCTGGCTCTCTGATGTTCTCTAGGTTGGCTGAAATGCTAATTTTCCTAATAAAGGGTCTGGTCCACCAAGTGAAGCAAATTTCCTTTACCCTTCTCATAATTCCATATGTAGTGATGTACTTATTCTACACATAATTATCTATTTACATATGCATGCATTTATATAACTTTCATAGATATGTGAAATCTATTGCTTAGTTTGCTAACTAATTGACTGTCTCTGCCTTTAGAATTAAATGCCATGAGCTCAATGCCATGTTTGTTCTACAAAAGGGTACATCCCCATTGTGCATGAAACTCATGGAGATCAATAAATCATTGATAGAATTGACATTTCTTCTTCTTAAAATACAATCAGTTCAGCTTTATTAAGGAAATAGGTGATTTCTAGAATTCAGTTGGTTTGTGTAGTGGCAGAGCCTGCATCTGTATCCTCTAATGGATCCCTAGAGGTGGCTTGCCGAGAATTCATTCTAGTGATGTTTATGCACCATGGTTTTCCTCAACAAGCAGAGCTTGGTCTCCATAGACCCTTTAATCACCTGCTTCCTATTTGTGTGAGAAAGAGTTCCTGTAGCCATCATGGGAGATTTGTCTCTGGAGAGGTCCATAACGGAATCACTACCTCCCAGCTCCCAGTACTTAACTTGTCTACTCCCCTATTGGCCCCATTGGAAAGAAAACTCCCTGAAACCAGAACCCATTTGATCATTAATTTATTTATCTGATTGCTGCTGGCTGTTAATTTCTAACAGTGACTCCCCTTCAAACTGAGCAAACACTCAGAACCTGGAAGAGTAAGTAAGGAAACATAAATGATAATGGTTTTGATTATGGGTAAGATCATTACTGCTTATTTTCTCATCAACTAGCAGTCCTTTGGACCTAACTCTGTTGGGGTCAGTTTTGTATTAAATGCATAGTGTCGATTATGTTGTCAAGGTTCAGAGAGTTTGGGTGAGAGGTGAAGCCCACAGATCAAGGACAAGAACACATGCAAGCCAATTTCAAGGTCAGTAGGACTTTTCTCCTGAAGTAGGTCCTTGAAGAACATTCAACCGTTTTGAAAAGCACTAGAGAAGAATCTCCAAGTAGGGAATTTTTTTTCTTCCTTGGAAAGAATTTCTTATTTGAGAATCACTCAGATGGTAGTTTTACTCCGGGAACAAGGTATCCCTTTAGATCAAATGTCCCGTAAGTGAAAATTTGGGAAGACAGAACTGAGCAGCAAAATTTATCAAAGCACTTTTCTGTCCCTTGGTTAAATAAAGTTGAGATAAGTGGCTAGAAGTTTTTTTTCATGTATTTGCATGATACAATTAAAGGTTCCATATCAGAAACACGATGGAGATCCTGCTGGAACATGTGTATTTATTGCATATGTTAGTGGTAAATGTGTCATTCCATTGACAGATATGAGATGATATGACATTGTAAACATTATTCTAGTTATTACAATCTGAAAGGTTTTACCTTAAAATATGTGACATTTCTTATCTCAATAAGGTCTGTTTCAATAAAAGTCAAGTAATCCATCAGTAGGAAAACATTTTAATATGACTGCCACATTATGTTTAGAATTGTAATGAAACCAAAGAGTTGGGAATATTGTTAGACATCAATGAAGAAATACCCTAGACTAAGTAGAGACAGGGGAAAATAATCACAGAGTACGTGAGGAGAGAGAGGGATGAGAAGATGTGAACTGCAGATAGGACTCTACCACGAGTGACTTACTTGGTCTTGGACACCTATTTTGTAAATTATTAGATGGGCTGGTCATCTAGTATAATGCAAATGTAAATGGGATGTAGATATGGTATATAGATATTACTATGCACATACATATTAATATACCTAAATACATACACCATGGAGGGTGATATATATATATTTATTTAACGATATAAATTATATATGTTACTTATATGTGTAATGTATAGATTATGCATATATATGTGTATATATATATAAACCCCTGAGATGTATAAATATTTAATGGGTTCCAAGGAGAACCAAAAGTTGATGGCTTGATTCCACCAAGAGGTACCTTGGAAGAAAGGCTTATTTATTTCTGTCTCAAAAATAAGTTGTTAAACCTCTATGAAGTATCATTTTATTCTGATATGATAGAGTTAACAATGAGTTGAATCGACTCAACAACAGCTTGTTGGCTGCATTTTTTATTATACCTTAAGTCATTATCTAAACATTGACCTACATGTAGATATTTTATAGGTATTTTGTTGATATTGTATGTGGGGAGAGAAGTAAATAAACATAAAGCCCACTTTTATAGTAACAAATTGATAAATGTTGTTCTACTGATTATAATGGCAATGCCTTGTCTACAGAAGAAGAAATTGTGGGTGAATTATAGGAAGCACTCTTTTGGTCATTGCAGCCACTTAGTAAAAATTATTGATGAAGATAGGTGAAGATATTCATGTCTTAGTATTCTAAACAAATTGTGCAGTTGAAATTAATCTCTGAAAACCCTCTAATCTATATGTGGTATACCTAAGATTTTAGAATGTAAAGTAAAATAAGTTTCATTTAGGAAAATTCTAGCCTTTCAAAATATACATGGAAATTTCTTAATATACTTTTATGCAGACTTAAATAAATACCCCAAATAAGTTAGCATCATAGTTAATATATAAATATTTTAGGGTCCTTTTTTGGGTCTATAAGAGCTAAATCCAAAGTAACTGACACTTGGAGAATAAAAGGATATTAGGGGAAAATATTACGTGGGTCTTATCACACCACCCCATGTGCTATTATCACAAGAAAGCCCTCCTTGACTTCACCAATCAAATGAATTCTCATGGATTATATGCATCTATTGACATGATGTCTAGAATGTGTGAAGGGTTTTTTTTAACCATCCTACAGATGAGTAAAGGGAGGCCAGTATAAGTTAGGGAATATCTAAGGTTGGTGAGGAAATCATTTGCACTGTGACTTGATGAAACTGAACTAGGTATCCATATAGGTACAGAGAAATACACCTGGAAATGTTAAGGAAAGTGTAGAAAGGCTAGAAGGGAGGAAATCTTATAGGAAAGCTAATTTAATGAAAGATATTATAGAATGTTTGTTTACATAGTTATCTGGAAATCCTATGTTACACCCTTCATCACTACTGTGGCCTGACTAACTTAATCTCTGTCTCCAAATCATATAAAAATTTATATAATTCTTTTCTTAATCAATTTAATTAAATAACAGATACTGGAAAAGAGTGACCTGTGTTATTTTAATCAAAAAACAATTATCAGTTCTGTAGTCTGGAATGTGTATCCCAAAAGTTCCTGATTAAAGATCTGTTTAAAAATAACATTTTTTGAAGTTTTCTTTCTTTTTTTCTTGACATTGTAATATTTGATATTATGGGTTAAATGTTATAGTCTCTATATCTATGATATATAGTGAAACCATTTTGGCTAGAAATATAGCTGTTTATATAACAGTCTCTCACTATCCTAGAATGCTGTTCTTGAAACAATTGAAATAATAAAAAAACTTTCCAATTGAAATATTAGTTTGGTTTGAAATTTTTTTAATCGGAAGTTTGATTCACTTTTATCACAAACTAATCTCATTATTTTGCATAAATCATTTTCCATTGCTTTTATGTAATCTCTGACATTGAGCGGTTTGACTAGAATAACTTGGAAGTTCTTTACACTGAAAATCCTATTATAGCATCAATAAATAAAAATCAAATTTGATTTTCACAACCATGCTTTAATTCCTGAAAACAATCGCTGTCAGGTTGAAATGAGACAGATATTGAACATGCTCAGAGACCTCAGTCTGTTCTCTCATTACAGTTCTGATTCTGGCTTCCCATGGTTACAGAGCAACCACAAAATTCCTCCATGACTAAAACAGAGAACCGTACAGAGGTGACGGAGTTCATTCTGGTGGGGTTCACCAATGATCCAGAAATGCAGATCCTGCTCTTCATAACTTTTTTCCTCATCTACCTCATCAGTCTGGTTGGGAACCTGGGGATGATTCTGCTGATCATGTTGGACTCCCGTCTCCACACTCCCATGTACTTTTTCCTCAGCAACCTCTCTCTGGCTGACTTTGGTTACTCCTCAGCTGTCACGCCCAAGGTAATGGCAGGGCTTCTCACAGGGGACAACGTCATCTCCTATAATCATTGTGCCGCTCAATTCTTCTTTTTTGGAGCTTTTGCTGTTACTGAAAGCAACCTTTTGGCTGTCATGGCTTATGATCGGTATGCAGCAGTGTGCAAACCCCTTCATTACACCACCACCATGACAGCAAATGTGTGTGCATGTCTGGGCATAGGCTCCTATGTTTTGGGTTTCCTGGATGTTTCCATCCACACTGGGAACACTTTCCGGCTCTCCTTCTGTAGGTCCAATGTGATTGATCACTTTTTCTGCGATGCTCCTCCCCTTCTGGCTATCTCATGCTCTGACAGATACATCACGGAGCTAGT